TTTATGCAATGTAAAAATGTATTTTAAAAAATATTGATGACATGAGAATTTTATGTAAGAGTTGCATTATATTGGATACTCAATTAAATAATTTGTTCTAAACTTTGACTATGAATATGTAAGGACTTTATTTTGGTTATTATTATTTACTTAGCTAAGTCATTCTTCCTATCTCAATTTTTCATCTCTTGCTTTACTTTTCTTTTTCTTTTTTTTTTCTTTTTTAATAATAACTACTTTTTTATATGGGCATTTATGTTAGTTGAATTATAAAATTCTAGTTAAAAAAAAAATTATGAGTAGTAGTAAATTAATACTACCTATTTCTATTAACTATAAGTATGTTTAGATATAAATAGAATATAATCTATATTTATTATTTAATTTAAAATTTTTTAGATATAGAGCCACGGATACATATTAAGTAGGCAATACAATTATCCCCTAAATTATTCCAAAGAAAGAGATCCCAAGTAAACAACCATCCTCTTTCTGCTTTTTGAAATCTTGATGAGTCGAGTTATTTTTCCAAGACTTGGAAGTCTTTTTGGTCTTAAGTCAACTAAATTAATTAGTGCCAAGCTTTCTGGATTGTGAATCACGCACGCAGTAGGGTTGGTTAATTTTATTTCTCCCTTTCACAAATCTTTTGCCCCACCATAATACTGTAGCTTTGACGGTTCTTGTGCTACTGTTGTGCAACGTGAAGACTGGAAAATCACATCTTTGCCCCAAAATACAAGTTTTAAAAGTCTTGTGCTGTTATTATGCAACGTGGAGATGGGGATCTTGGGAAATAACTGTCAAATCATTGATATAAAATTAATTGATGTAAGCAATTCCTAAATTTACATTAGTGTAAGTTGATCCTACTTTAGATATAATTAGCAGCTAATATTCAATTGGTATATATATATTTTTGTTTCAGAAAATTAAAAGTTAAAATATATTGATATTTAAAATGTTAGAATGTTAGTAAAATTATTTAAATATTTTTAATAAATTTTTTAGTATATTAATTTATTAAAAGTATTTAAATCTTTTAATTATCATTTTTAATATTTAAATTATTAAAATATCTTTTTTTTAAATCTCTTATTTTTTATAATGTAAATATATTTATTCTTTTGATT